AAGCCTTGGGCCAAGGTAGACGGTCCAGGCACCAGTTTCTCGCACAAATGGCACGAGCGATCCGTCAACAATCTACGAGGCCACGAAGATGAATTCAACACTGACAACTCCGGCTTTGCCGTCTACCAATATCCCGCCAAAGAGAAAGCCTTCACAGACGACGCAGCAGTACGAGAAGGCTACTACGCCGAAGTCGAAGCCTTGCTACGCAACAAGCTGCCTGGCGTGAAAAAGGTCGTCATCTTCGACCACACGATCCGGAGACGAGACAAGAACTCTCCTAGGCAACCAGTCCAGCAAGTACATGTAGACCAGACCGAAGCCGCCGCAGAAGCACGTGTACGCCGCCATCTCTCTCATGAGGAAGCCGACGAATGGGTAAAAGGCCGCTACCAAATCATCAACGTATGGCGACCCATTGAGAATCCTGCTTCAGACCACCCCCTCGCCATGATAGACTGGAGAACAACATCAACATCCGATTTCGTTGCTACAAACCTCCTATACCCTAAGCGCGCCGACTCCATGGACGTCGACGACCGGGGTAAGGAAGTCCTCCCCGACCCAAACAACCATACTTCCACAGAAGGGTATGAGGTTAAGGGCGAGACTATGTCGGTGGCAGCGAACGACCAGCACAAATTCTACTACCAGAAAGATATGACGCCTGAGGAAGTTATTTTGCTCAAGTGCTATGATAGTTTTGGGGAGGGCATGTCTCACGGCAAGGACGGTGTGGCTGTTAGAACACCACACACTGCTTTTGCGGATCCGAATACGCCGGAGGACGCACCGGGTCGGCAGAGTATTGAGGTCAGATGTTTGGTATTCTATGAGTAGGGTAGTTGTGTTGGAATGATGGCAACCTAGCTGTTTGAAAGTCATCACACACGTAGTTGTTGAGTTGTATGTCTTCAAGTTTATATCTAATTAGTCTATCTAAGCGAATCCATAACCGCAATTACACCAGACTTTGGTATCGTAAGATCAGAAAAGGCGTACAAACGGTCTATCGCGAAGCCAATCATGAGAACAATTCTTTAGGCCTTGGTATGGGCCTCGACGCGTGCCTCGGTAGATTCCAACTCAAACGAGTCAGTATCCTGGGGCCTCCAGAACTTCTTGTCGCCCTTCATTGCGCGGATGAACCAAGGCTGAGCGCGTGGCGAGTCTGAGCGGACTGGAATGAGAATGTTAGCGCAGCTTTTGGGAAGGAATCAGTACATGGAGAGACTTACAGCTCCAGTATTCCTTGTTGTCATGGTCGGGTGGAAGTAGGCGTCCGCCTGAGATGGCACCGAGAGCCCATGTCGTGGTATTGATGATGGCGTAGCACATGATTCCAGCGATGAGACCGTATGCGATTGAGTAGGAGAAAGGCATGAACATGAGTGTGACGAAGGCGGGGATAGAATCGCCTGGATAGTTCCAGTTGATGGCCAAGACACCGCGCATCATCATACATCCGACTAAGATGAGCGCGCCACCTGTTGCCCAAGGCGGAATGGAGGCGAAAATGGGTGCGAAAAAGAGGGATATGAAGAAACAGATGCCCGTGGTGATTGCTGTGAGCCCTGTGCGACCGCCTTCTTGGATACCAGCCTGTAGATATCAGTATGAAGGAAACTCAAAGCAGTCAGATATGGTACTTACACCAGACTCGACGAAAGCAGTGACAGGCGAAGATCCAAAGAGAGAGCCGATGGAGATAGCGATAGCGTCCGCTGAGTACGCGATAGTCGAACGGGGGAAGTCACCCGTGTCAGGATCGACAACGCCCGAGAAGCGAGCCATGGAGTACAAAGTACCCGTCGCGTCCAAGATATCGACGTAAAGCATAGTGAAGACGGCCAGAGCAAACTGCCCGCCCACATTGGACAAATCCCAATCCTGTGCCAACAAAGTGTGTTTGATAGGATGGAAAGCGACAATGTTCTTGAAGAACTCGAAACGGCTGTCACCAACTGTTGTGCGTGGGAAGTAGGTGATTGAAGTGTCGCGAGGCCAGCAAAAAATCGAGACCAGTGCGATACCAAAGATCATTGAGCCACGGATTTTGTATGTCATTAGCAGGGCAGTGAAGACACCGCCCACGAGGAAGCCGAGCCACATGGTCGGGTTGGTGGCTTTGTGTGAGAGACAGGAGCCAGTATCCGGGTCGAGGTATTCCGTAGGGCAACCTCCAAGGTCGAGTGGCGTGGCTTTAGCTCCTGTAATGGCACCGATACCAGCAGAGTATGAAAGTCCGATCAGTGTCAAGAAGAGACCAATACCCGCACCACATGCGACTTTGATGCTAGCAGGAATGATGCGGGCCAACCATTGGCGAATACCAGCGAGGGAGAGCGCAACGAAGATGAAGCCTTCGACGAAAACAGCGGTCATTGCGACACGGTAGTCGATGGGACCAGTGCCGTGGAATCCCACGATCTGATATGCCAGATACGCATTAAGGCCCATAGCCGGTGCGAGCGCCACTGGAAGGTTTGCGAGGAGGCCCATGAGGAACGAGCCGAGCGCTGCGATGGCGGCGGTAGCAGTAACGAAGTCGCGGTTGATTTCGAGGAGGCAGAGAGAGTAGGCTTCATCGTTGATACATGTTGGGTCGACAGGGTCATTGCAGACACATGTCGCACCGGAGTCTGTGAGGACGGATGCCTACAAGTGGTGGTTCCGTTAGCACACGTACCACTTTGACAGCATGGGTGACTTACGTTGACAGCGATAATGTATGCCATGGTGAAGAAGGTCGTCAGTCCAGCCCGAAGCTCTGTCGTAAACCGCGCATTCTTGATCTCATTGGGCTTCGATGGTCAGTATTGCGTGCTATCTCGGAAATGCAAGAATGACTTACATGCCCTGATCCGTCAAGATGAAAATATCTGCCCACAAATGAAGCGGAAACCACATCATTGAGAGCAGCTTTGTTTCGTTCAATGAAACCCATTTTGAGAGGCCAAAAGCAAAACAACGGGTATGATAGAATGGTGTAGCACTACGAGACCATCGACACCCCAGGTAACGACGGAGATCAATCCCCAGATATACCTGCCGTGCTCAAAGAGGAAGATACGGAGACTACACCTAGTGCAGGGGATGGAGCGTAGCAGGCTCGCTCGCGTCATGCAGGTGCCCGCAACGATCCCGTAAGGAGTTCGCGGTAAGCCACATAAGGCATCCTCCGTGATCGGAGATGGATTCTCGTTAAGCGAATGTGGAAGACACTATATGCCTAAAAATCTGCCGCTCCATTATGGCAGGTCGAACGGCTAGGTGTGTTGCTGTTTCATCTTCTCATCCAAGCCGTCCCTCGGTAGGATGTAACCGCGCATACGCCACTGAAGAACCGTCCGCCTTGGCTATGTCACCTCCACTAAAATGTGGTCGTCGGATTCCGGGTTGTGGGCCGCACCGAGTAATCCACTGGCATTAGCACAGTGTCTAGATAACTTCAACTGAGCCAGGAAGCGAAAACGAGTCAAGCAATCGATAGATACGTGGTAGTGACGTGGTGTGCCATGTACGTGTATGCTTTGCACCACCTCCTTCAACATCTCAGCGATATTAATTCCATAGCTGCCGAGGCTGACTGTGTGCGGTGCATGTCGCAAATAAGTCTAGTCGTTACGAAGTTGCGGTCTTGAAGTCTAAATGGTCGAAGACCGATGGCGCATCGGCAGAGGAATCTGACTTGGTTACTGGACATCAGGAACGAAAGGTACCTGACTGTCGGGTCTTCCAAGAAGTTCTAACGAGTCGCAGAAGTCCCAACGATGGCTTTGACGTGCTCGATCCAATGGCTGATGTGCCGCTTCCCGGGGCTTTCATGAAGGGGGAAGGTAAGCGGTCATCTAGCAGACGCTAACAGTGGCTGGTGGCGCACATGTGATAAACCCGTCTTCATGAGCGTACGTGTCGGTGCTGCATAGGCGGTAAAGAGTGACATGCTTGCGCGAGTGTATTGTTGCGATGTGCAGGATGAGGGAAGATCTTGATACTGTCATCGTCCAGTACCCCTCTGGTTTGGGTTGTCTGTTCCGAAAGTGTGGGTTGGGAAAGGTCACTCGCGCTGATCATCATCTGCCCTGTTATCGATGGGGACTTCCGCACTAAGTTCGGCGCTATTCTCGGTGGGAACCGGGCGCCCTGGTGTCGCTGGTCTGTAAGGCCACCAACCACCGCTGACTTGGAACACCCAACACCAAACTGCAATCATTACGCTAAAAACGCTAGCCGGCTCAGTTGGCGAGATTGAGACTATTTTCCGCGAACGGGCTGGCCTAACAGGTGGTACGTGTTGTGACATGCCGAAACGATGAACTATTATCGAGCGAAGATCCCCGCCTGGAAGGCGATGAGGGCACCGTATCGAGATAGTCGACATGTTTCCAACATTTGATGTTCCTCCTCAACATGCCGAGACAGTAGGAGCTCGCAAAGCAAGAAGAGCAAAGGAAGACGATACGACCAGACGGTCTTTCTCGGCAACCTCGCAGTCATCCGGAAGCACGCACAGCAGCAAACGTCAAGATGCAACGAGCTCTTCAGACTCAAGATCAGGAGCAAAGAGTGGTCTCGGCGGTTGGTTCAGCAAGAATAATAAAAAGGGCATCCAGGAGATCGCTCCGCTGTCGACATGTAAGGAGACACAACGTCCAAAAGAGCTGGCGATGAAGCCAGAGTCTGAACTCGGACTTGACCAAGGACCGGCACCACCCACTGCTCCTCTAGATACACAACATCAAGTATCTCAGAGGCCGCCGTCCCAGCGTTCTGATCCGACATCTCGAAAACTCCTGCCGCCGCGCTTTCCACCTCCGCTGCCATCTCCTCCTCCGTCTAGTGCACTGCCTCCTACGCCAGGGATGCTTAGCCCTGTCAGTATACCAGGTACGTACAAATCATCTTCTTGATACCTAAACATGAGGTTTGGACTACCATGACTGCGTATGTAGTCTCCTGGGGTATACATGTACGAGCCGTGATCTTGCGCGAACAGCATGCTTACACACGCTACAGATAGGAAGTCACACTACTCCACTATTTCTCGCGCTTCATCCAACCCATCTAGCGTCACACACTCAAACCACAGTGTCTTTTCGGGCGCTTCGGGGTACGAGACTGCTCTCTCGGACGATGCTTTTGAAGACCCTCGCCCTTCTAAACCTTCATTCAGGCCTCCGCCGGTTTCCCAATCACCTTATTTCGAGCCGGTCGAGCGCGGTTCGCGAACTGGCAGTACACATAGCAGTGAACGCGTCCAAAGTGTCAAAGCAGCTCAAACACCGTTCACACGGGCACTGGCGAAGATGGAGAATGCTGGTACTCGCATCATGTCTGCTCGATTAAGCGAAGAGTGGGACGGCTTGGATGATGACGAGAGCTTCCAAGAGATTATGTTCGAGCAACGGCTATGGGCACTAACTGCCTATCAACGATTGACGCAGAACAAACCCCTGCAGTCACCTGCGCATGAGTTACTGAGTAATAGTCAACCAGCAGATCAGAGGAGGGTACTCCAAATACATGGTTCTCTAGGTATGTCTGTCCTGCAGCTTTGCCTCGCTCGAAACACGCATTAATGCTGACTACCGCAGCGGATGGATGGATGCTAGCACACCATTACCCTGCAGTGACAGTATATACGCTCTCTACCACCAAGACTCAGCCAGCTACCACGTACCCTGCGCCTCTCAACCATCATACACTATACATTCCTTCACTTGCATCCCCAACGCCATTTCCCGATAACTACTTCGACGCCGTTATCTCGCGTTCCGTCGCGACAGTTCTTCGAAACGACGACTGGGCTCGATCATTCTTCGACTGCATGCGTGTGCTCAAGCCCGGTGGACAAATCGAAATACTCTCAGTGGATGCACACATGAGCTGCGAAGGGCCCAAGCTATCATCATGGGTTGATGAGCATCTTTCCTGTCGGCTGGAAGCTCACGGCGTGAGCAAGCAGGCTTCAGACACTGTCCTCGACACAATGGAGATTGTAGGCTTCGATAACATTCGTCGCGCTCGCATCGCGCTTCCAGCGCATCCACCCAAGGTGGCACCTAAAGTGGCGCCATCTGCATCACATACTTTTGGTGCTGCGATCCCGGCTCCCACACCTCAAGATACTCTGGATACGACGAAGATGATGGCTTTCCTCGGCCGCCATTTCTATCAGGATCTTTACAGCAGGTTCATAGACGTCAGACAGGGAGATGAGTGGTTCTGGTCGGATAAGGAGATTCGGGCGGAGTGTGATCTCTACAAGACAAAGACGGTACTAACAATTGCTTGTGGGCAAAAGTCTACAAATATGTGCCATACCGGGAGTTATCTAGATGACTAGATCGTGTCCAACCCGTTTTTTTATCAACTATAGGGAGATCGCCTTGAGTTGTATCCTAGATGCTGTTGTCGCTTCCTTTCGTTTTCATAGGTAGAGGAAGTTGGTGCGGCTGAGAATGTCGCAAACTGGGCCAGCGCTAGGCGGTTCTGCCCATCACTCGTTTCACACTCATGACCTCAACCAGGCTTAGATATACGGATATACGAAGTGAATATGACATATGCGCAGAATTGAGGCAAGCCAGCTAGAACAAGGATGGCCGCGCTTGCACTTGCGGAAGGTGCCACCTGGGCAGGTTCTCATTCCTTCCCGTGCCTGCTCTCACATGACCCACTTATCCAGGCACAAACACACTCACCTCCATAGGTATTGCTTACTTTAACCACACTCTCGCCAACCACTGCAGCGCCGACCGTTGATTCAACTCGACTAATTAATAATCGCTCTCATCAATCATCTCGAACCTGTGATAGACACGCATTCATACCCTGCAATGGCTACTTCCCAAATCGGTCATGGCCAGATTGGCAAGATTATCGAAGGTATGTAGAATGCATCCAGAATCTTAGAGTGAGATTTACTGACAGCGCGTAGACATGGAGGAACTCCTACCTTCGGAAACCATCGATAGGGCTGACTATCGGCGCTGTCGCACAACCTACGGCCTCTTATCCACGGCATACAAGCGCACGACCCATTCTGATGAACCAGAGAAGGATTACAAAGAGTTGCAGAAACTTGAGAAAACTTTACGTGACCGTCTTTCCAACCTTGACCCTGCCAGAGGTCTTCCGCGCAAATTCCAGGGTCCGCTCGACCATCTCAAAGCAGGCATCGACGGTGCTCTCGAGATGGGTGTAACAGTCGAATTTCTCATTGAAGGTCTCAAGGATATCTTGAACGAGAAACCAGATGCTACACCTGCGCCAAAGGTAGAACCGACTAGGCTGGTGCCTGAGAAGCGCCTCCAAAGGTATCTAGAGGAGCTTCGCATCGAGAAGGACAAGAACCGCAAACTGAACGAAGAGAACAACCGCCTCATCCTGGAACTCAAGCAATACAAGATGCGAGATGATGCGTCCTCCGGTTGGCCGCCTCTCAGTGAGCCGCCTCTCAAAAAACGTCGCGTTGACTAGAATACTGATGATGCAGCCCAGGGTAATAGACACGGGGCAGACCTCTAGTTAGGTGTCGAATGAGTCAAAAGTTTTGTACGTCCAGTGACCAATATGTCATCTATGTTGTAGCTTGCTGATAAGGAGCCCAGGTCAGGTTAAATCGTCGCTTGTAGGGGGGTCAAGGAACCGGGGCAGGAGTTGGGTCATGCGCAGTGTAGGGAAGCATCTTGTCATAGTCCTGTTGCTTGTGCAAGCAGGTGGTCTGTATTATGACTGTCTCATGAGGTTTGGCTTGCAAAAACTTGGCTATCAAATGCTTCAATGACTTCATCGCATTGCAACGTTTGTGATGGCAACACTGTGATGTTCCTTCCAAGGTTTTGTTGCAGCTGTGGCGGGCAGCGAATGACGTATGGCGCAGCCCTGAAGTGGGGCTTCGCGAAAAGGTTTAGCGCCTACCGCTCGACGCGACGCGTCTTGTCTGAACTCTGTTGGGATGCCAGACACCTGCAGAACCAGACGTCTCCTTTGTGCGAGCCAACATGCCTCGGGCTAAACGAACCGCGTCCGTATCGCAATACTCGCCTCCGAGCAAGCGCGTAGCCAATGACGCTGCGCGACACGAATCTTCACATCCGCTAGGGTCACGACACGCCCCAGTGGAGCTAGACTCGAGCCCGGAAGCGGAAGCCAGCACGCACACAGAGCCAGCGGGACCTATCAACCCGCCCGCCCAAGCTGAGCCTCCTCTAAGCAAAGAGCAACAACGAGTTGTTGATCTTATCATAGACGGCCACAATGTATTCTATACAGGATCCGCCGGCTGCGGCAAGTCAACCATTTTGCGGGCCTTTGTCAAGGAACTGAAGTCGCTCGGCAAGGTCGTCCGTATCTGTGCGCCGACAAACCTCGCCGCTTTGAACGTCGGTGGCTTCACGCTTTGGCACGAGGTAAAGCCCTACGTCTCTGGACATCTGATTGACGTCTGATCAGGTCTTACGCTGGATGGATAGTGCCCGATGTCAACAAAGATTTGGACACATTGAGAAGAGATGCTCACAGGAAGCAAGTCTGGAACAGGATGAACAAGACAGACGTCCTCGTCATAGACGAAATCAGCATGGTCGAAAACAACTTCTTCACTCGGCTGAACGAAGTACTGAAGGCGGCACGAGGTTCGAGCCAACCTTTCGGTGGCGTTCAACTTGTGGTTACAGGAGACGTAAGTGTAGTAGCGATTTTGGGATATGCAAAGACTAACGCAATATCAGTTCTGCCAACTCGCCCCAGTGAAGCCTTTCCAGAACTGTTTCAACTGTGGAAAATCTTTGAGAGTGGACGATTATGATGACCAATATCACTGCGATACCCGGAGTTGTCTGGAAAATATCTTCCATGACGTTGACAAATGGGCATTTCGTAGTAGTGCATGGCAGGTAAATTTGAGCCTTTTTCCCATCAGATAGGGACGACCTGTTGACTATCACAGGAGTGCAGATTCGTAAATGTCAATTTGACCAAGATCTTTCGACAAAGCGATCGCAAGTTCGTCGAAATTCTGCAGTCAATTAGAAGAAGTCAACAAGTCCAGAGCCATGATGCAGCTCTTGCGCTGACAAGTTGCAGATGTAGACATCCCTGGGGATGATGCGTACACGCTTCTGAACCATGAATGTTCAACAGAAGGGGCAGTGGAAATATACCCACACAGAGCGGACGTCCTTCGCATCAACAATAAGTGCATCAATGCGCTCCCGTCTCAACCTTGGCGGTTCGCTTGTAAAGACTACTTCAACTGGAAACCAGAGCACAAAAAGGCGAATCCAGAGTTCAAGAAATACAATTTCAGAAACAACGATGGTACCCTGAAAGAGCTGGTGAGTCGCCACTTGTCGCATACATAGACATCGTACTGATCTTTCCTCCGCAGGATCAACACAGGTATGAATCAGTCTTGCAGTTCAAAAAAGACATGCGAGTTGTATTGCAACACAATCTGGATCCTGAGGCTGGTCTGGTCAATGGGTCACAGGGCGTCATCGAAGACTTCGAGGCATACGACGAGAGAAAGCTACCCCGTGCCCGTAAGGAAAGTGAAGAACGTGGAAGCGATGGGCCAGTTCTCGCTGGGTCACACGCCACGTACGAGCACCATGAGATCCGGAGATACGCCGAAGACAACAATTACCAGCCTTGGCCGGTGGTCAAATTCGATGACGGCCAGACGAGAACGATTTTCCCAAATTGTTCGAGCCTCGAGCTGGGCGACACTACGCCCTATAGCCTCTTGTCCAGGACTCAAATCCCTCTGATGGCAGGCTATGCTATCACCGTCCACAAGGCTCAGGGCATGACAATGGACAAGGTCAAGGTCAACCTGCAGAAGGCTTTCGATCCAAGCCAAGTATATGTTGCTTGTACGTCAACTCATATTTACCCCAGTGATACCAAGCTAACAGCGAACACAGTGAGTCGAGCGAGATCATTGCACGGTCTGGAAGTCACGGCTCTTCCGAAGAAGCATTTTGGTGGTCAAGCGCCAGAGGTGAAGGAATTCATGGATTCCTTCTCCTGATGTGACCTATTTGATTGGGGGTCGGATATTTCGCGCAATTCTCGAAGCGTATGCGGTAGTCAGACTGTGGCAGCGTCTCTGCGAAGTAGCGACTAGCAACAGAATTCGCGGTTTTGATACTGTTTTACGCTTCGCTAGCAAACAACAAGCCTCGTAACTCTTGCCTTATCTCAAAATTCTAAGCTCGCATGTGATATACGTCTGCTGTGTGTATCTGTGCAAGATCGTTTGTACAACACGATCACCTCATGCAAGGTAAAGCTCAACAGTTCTGCAGGCTACACTTGGATGAGACGAGCAAAACAGAACAATTTGTAGTAATGTAAGCTCCATGCTGTTTAACCTTTTCTTCGTTGAGTTGCAGTCACAACAGAAAAAGAAAGAAATTGGTTACTCTGAGCAGCGGAGCCGAGGCGATGATCTAGGACTAAGAAGGTTGGCAGCGCAAGACCATCTCAAGATAAGAAAGCTTCATCGGTGTGGTGCGCATGGTGAGAAAGCAGCCAAGGAGCAACAGTTTGTCGTCCAGTTCCAGATGGATAGAAGCCGGAGCATTATTAATTAGGCTAATGTATGAGTCGTTGGTATCTGCGAACTATCTCACAGCAGCCATAGAGTTCACGACATGACACAGACGTTGAAAGAAGGGGTATATTAACATTTAAGATCACCTATATGAAAGGCGAACATGATGTATCAGTCGATATCGGAAAAATTCATCGACTGATAGTCAACTCAGCGACACTTGAACGATCCATAGACCGTACACTACACTCATGCAAAGACAAGCTTAAAAGATGCGGTTCAAGAAACGCTTCCATGCGGGCCAGGTGGCGATCTCGGCACGCTCCGCGTTGATGAGGTCCCAGTCGAGCTCACGACGGCCAGTGTCAACGTCCATCTGGGCAGTTCGGAGCCATCCCTCGCGCTTCCAGAAGTATCCGGCAATCCAGAAAGCAGCAACGACGAAGATGGCGAGGTATGCCTGGAAGAAGTCGGTGGCAGTACCAAGCCTCTTTCCGATAGGGGAAACGGCAGTGTAGAACTGATGTTAATGTTAGCAAAATGCACTACAAAGGGGATCAGATGAAGTCTTACCTGTGCCATCAAGACGATGACGATAATGAAAATACCGATCCACGAGCCAATGACACCACCAGCGGCCTTGAACGGAATCTCATCCAGGGTGTGTCCATGGTAAGCCCAAGCCTTGCGGAAGCGAATATGGGCAAGGCAGATGGAGCCCCAGGTGAAGAGAGCGGCAAGTCCAGACAGAGAGACGAACCAGTTGAAGATAACTTCACCGGTTGAGGCCAAGTTCATGTAGGCGAGGGGACCCCACATGAGAATGAAGGCAACGGACCAAAGAGGACGTCCGGCACGGTCGACGTAGGTGAAAATCTTAGGAGCGTAACCCTGGTCAGCGAGGGCGGTGAGGGTACGCGAACCACCGTAGACACCAGAGACACCGATGGAGACAACGGAGACCATAATGACAACGTTCATGAAGCTGTCGAATCCAATCAAACCAGCGTTCTTGCCAGCAATGACGAAGGGCGAGGCGTTGGCGTCACCGGATGAGTTGCCGATGAGACGGTCGTCAGTGTGCTCGACGAGCAGACCAACGAAGGTGAGACCAAGGATGTAGAACAGGGTGATTCGCCAGAAGACCTGACGGATAGCACCGGGAAGGGACTTCAGAGGGTTCTTAGTCTCAGCGGCAGCGAGACCGACCAGTTCAGTTCCGGAGAAGGAGAAAGCTGCGGTAACGAAGACGGTGCAGAATCCCTTGAAGCCGTTGGCGAAGGCACCAGGGCTGTACCAGGTACGCGCTCCCCAGTATTCAGAGTACATGCCGTTGCTGGGTCCTCCACCGAGAACCAAGACCAAGGCGATGATCATGAAAACGACGGTTGCACCAAGCTTGATACACGACGACCAGAATTCTTCCTCGGCGTATCCCAGGGTACCCCAAATGTTGATGAAACAAATGAATAGCCAGAAAGCCGTGATGAAGACAGCGACGTTGACTCCCTTGGCCCCATCCCAATATTGGACTGTGAAACCGGCGACGAGAAGTTCAAGTGGTAAGACGATGGCCCATTGGAAGACGTAGTTCCAACCCATGGCGAAACCCCAGGATGGATCAATGAAGCGAGAGGAGTAAGTGTAGAAACCACCGGAAACGGGGTACATAACAGCGAGTTCACCGAGAGCGTAGACTGCAAGTCGTGTCAGTTTTGCTTGCGTGCGCAAAACAAGTGTGATCTCTACATACCGACGTTAAAGATCATTATACCCATGATTGAGAAATCAATGAGGAGCGTGGCAGGGCCCTGAGTAATTGTAAGTCCATATCCAGAAGTGACCGCATACTGTGCAACTTACACCCCTGGAAAGAGCACCACCGGAACCGACGAAGAAACCAGCACCGATGGAACCACCGATGGCAATCATGTGAAGATGGCGAGTCTTCATGGACTTGTCGAGTACGACCATAGGGCCCTCTTGGGGACGACGCTGGAAGGACTTCATGTTCAGACCGTTGCGGGTCATGAAGTCCTCCTGCTCGCGCCAGTCGGCGGAGTCCTCACCATGACTTTCGACAGTCGGGTGAGGGACGGTAGTCTTCTCATTGGGCGGGGTCCCCTTTTCGTAGTCCATGATGGGCGGTTGGACAGGTCAGTGCTGGGGGTAGAAAAGACTGATGAAGTCGAGAGAGACCCTGGGACCGGCTGCTCTTTAATGTCAGATATGGATCAGCGGAGGGGGAGGCAATTGACATTTATCCAGTCCAGGTTCGAGATGGCTCGCGGAAAGAGCGACAGGGACCCCCGTTCATTGATGCACGAGGCGCACGAGCCGACAGCTTGGCACCCCTCCATTACAGTGAAGGGCCAGGCTGACGAAAGATAGCCTGGCGCTGTCTTTGGTTGGCTGGTCGTGTGCACCCAGAACAAGCGTTCGCCGCAAGCGGGTAGCACTAACAAGGACGGTGAATTGGCGCCCCGCCGCGGCTCTTGGGATTAGCTTGGGACCTCCCCGCAACAGCAAATCGGCCGGTGGCGCATAGGGCTTGGTGTGAGCTTCGAGGGGGCCCTTGGTGCCCTTTGGTCAGACCCGGTCGCTGGGCGGAGATTGGTCCCAAACAAGACTGATAACGAATGCGCGACCTGCGAGTAACCGCGAGAGACTGATTTAGCAAAGTTCTAGCAGGCTTTCTAGAACGCTGATTGCAGTGCTGGGCTCCCTTGGCTACCGCGGTTGTCTTCGGATCCAACGCCGCTTTCCTTGCCAGCTGCCCCAATTGGCGAATCGAGGTTGGTGCATACCGGCCGTCTTATCTGCAGCCGGATGGTTGCGCTTACTTGGTGTAGTCTGGAGAAGCCTCTCACGTGCCCCACCTCCATGTGC